TTGTCAGTATATCTGCTTGCCTGTACGGGATGATGGCATCAATAAACTACCACGGCGCTCCACAGTGGTAGTTCGTTGAGGACTACAAGCTGATAGCCAGTGAGGCTGTCAGAACTTGTAGTTTCTTATTCCAGAGGACTGTGAATGTGTCAAGTGTCCAGGTGGGTGGAGCCTTGCACTGCCATGTTTTTTTTTAAAATTTTGACAGCAGGAGGAGAAGATCCCCCATTAGCTGTCAAAGGGGGGGAGCTGGGGCAGGTCTATTCATAACATGTTACACCCTGAATATGGGTGTAACATGTTATAAAAGGTGAACTTATCTTTTAGGGAAGTTCAGGAAAAAATACTACATGGTTTGTCCTCATGTTGCAAAGGTGACATCTGCAACCTGATAGATTTTGGTATTCTTGCTGGTTTTGAATTTTGGCTTGCAGGAATTTGTTTTTGTAGCAACTCGTTTTAGGTTGTACTCACCAATAACCGTTTTAGGTTTAATCTGTTTTTTGAGTTTTGCATAAGAAAAAAGTCCGAACTGGTCCATGTCCAGAGTAAGGGATAATAAAAAAAAAAGCATATAGCATCAGTACAGATCAGAATGAGAAATGTTAAATGGTATCTCCACTTTCGTGAGTAGAAAAATAGAAAAAAAAATCTAATAATATTATAGTCTATACAATTGTGAATCATATTGTAATTGAACGTTTTTGAAAAAATTACCTTTCCTTTTCAATCTGCAGTGTGTAATTTTCTGTAAAATGCGATGCAATATGGCTACCTGGAAGCATTCTGTACACAGATGGTGTACAGAACGCCCCCTGAAAATGTCATGTCCTGCTTGTGTGATTGGCTTACAAATTTTCCCTGAAGTCGGTATTAAGATACAAATCCAATTTTTGTCATCCCCTGCAACAAAAATGTAATTTTTTTGGTGAGATACTCCCAAAGGGAAATCATGTATAAAGGGATGCAGACCCTGCAATTTTCCTCATTAGAGCCCTGCAGGTGCAGCAGCTGATTGATAACGATAAAAAACACTCCCATGCAGATTCACTGTACACATGGACACAGACATACAAACAACTGTTGCTTCAGAATAACAAAAGGTTGAAATATTCAACAACGTTTGTTAAAATCCCTGTAATGTACAGTACAGAACTGCACTACAGATGGAAGTAGCGAATTGCGTCAGTCAAGATGAACATGTGGGAATGTAATAACCATCATAGAAAAACACGCGTAATAAATGGATGTGGGGCAAAGAACAGAAGACCTTTCATACCGACAAACAGAGAAATGCTACGTATCAAACATTATTGGTACTCAGCTTTCCTCACACTTTCTAAAAAAGCGAAGTTATTATGTAGCCTTACAGGAATAGCTATAAAGAAAGTAGATACGTATGTGAAAGAAAACCAAAAAAATGAGCGTCAGGGGTTAGGGGAGAACCAACGATTTGGATCCTACATACAGTTGGGGTGAACCGGAGCCAAGACTTGTTACCATGGGTCAGACTCCTTAGTTAATGTATGCAGCATTCTGAAGAGTGTCTTCGATAAGTCCGCGTTGTCCTTGTGATCGTACAGGTCTATGATTTGTCATTTTCCATTGATCATATTAGATCGGGCAGCAGTCTGTATGCCGATAAGAGGAGTATAGTCTTTAGTTTTAGGTTTCAGACAACCAGTAGGATATTGTTTTCTTTATGTGTATAGATTGCTGATGGTTGGTTCTGGGGACATTGCTATGTTTTCAAGCTGAATTCATTGCAGATATAAAAGACAAAAATGATTACAGGTGCATATGCAATTAATACATTTATTTTTAAATGCAGCTTGTTTAACTTGAATTGGACTTGGTATCAGCCTCTTGCAGTCATCTATACCGCAGTACTTACCTGGGAGGTGCAGGACTAGCCAAACAGGTATACTAGAGACAAGGGACAAAGGAGGAGGAGATAGTGGAATGACCTCATCCATCTGCTGCTGTTTTATGATGGGTACCAGGGGCGGACTGACCATCTGGAAACTCGGGCACTGCCCAAGGTCCCGGGGTCAGTAGGGGGCCCCATTAGATGCCCCTGGTACCTTTTTCATAGGCTTTTTTGAGTTTTGGGCAAGGACACAGGGGCCCCATGATCCCCTATTGCCCAGGGACCCCATGAGCTGTCAGTCCACCCCTGATGGGTACACACAATCTGAATATTGGCTGGCCAAGCAGGAACTGGCTGATTTTCAGACAGTGTGTACAGCTGCCGGTCCAACTAGAAGGGACATGCTGGAAAGCCAGAATCCAACCAGCAGCCGATCAGTGCTCACAGCCAGTGGCTGTGAGTGCTGATCAGTGTGTTATGGTGCAGAGACAGTCCTCCTGTCAGAACACACTAGCTCAGCGGGGAGATCGCATCACATTGCAAAGTTAGTACGGCTACCTCTTATGCAGGCCTTAGACGGGTTGAAAATCGGGTGATTTTTCAGCCGAAAAAAAAATCGGCCGATTTTCGCACCGTTAGTGGGTTAATTGGTCGGCCGTTTTTCGGAGTTTTGGCACATTTTTTTTTATTGGTGTAGTTGAAAAAAATCGGCCAATTTTCCCGGCAGTGATGGGCAAATCGGCCGATCGTTTTACCGTTAAAAAAAATCTGCGCATGAGCCGTGACCTGCAAGAAGAAGAGGAAAAAGAATAAGAATAAGAATTCCAGTCCACTATTATATTTTATATGAAAAGTCTTGCGGTTGCAACAATGTATCTATTTGTATCCGAATAAAAACATCTGTATCCGAAATGGATACAAATGGATACAATGTTGCAACCGCAATACTTTTTCATGTCAAATATAATAGCGGGGCTCTCTGCAAGGGAGAGAAGTAATTAAATGCTGACCGTAGACGGGACGAAAATCGGTCAATTCTTTTTTTTTTTTTTTTTTTTTTTTTTATCATTGGTGGTAACGTCGGCCTATTTTTTTTTTTTTTTTTTTGACCCATCTATGGCCTGCATTAGTGTTCTTTTGTTTTTTTTCATTCAGCCCACTGGGTTGAAAAAAAAAAAAAAAAAGCTAAGGGGCTCCATGCACACTAGTGTTTTTTAAAAGCTGTTAGCATTGTTTTTGCTGCTTTTTTTTCTGCTCCCAGAAACTAATTAGCTAATTAGTGTATCCATCCACACTATTTTAGGATAGTAGCATTTTTCAAGCTTCAGCATTTGGGAGCAGAAAATTAAATTGTTTTTGTAAAGTTGTTTGGAAGGTTTTTCAGCAGAAAAACAAACGCTGAATGCTCCTAAGAGCTTTTTTTTTATAGCGTTTGTTTTTTTTCCTACATGTACTGTGTAAACTATTGAAAAGCTGATGCTCCTAAACGCTGTTGAAAAGCTTCTACCAGCGGGGTTTTTTTTTACAGCGTTTGTTGAGCTTAATAAAAAACACACTAGTGTGCATGGAGCATTAATAATGTGCATGGAGCCTTAATGTGTGTACCAGGCCTTATGGTCTGGTTAGGTGGCTTGATGGTGAAGAGTGGGTACCACTAAGGCTCAATTCACTCTACATTGTACAATGCCTTTCACTGCAAGGACACCCAGAAAACCATTGTTTCCGGTGTGTCCCATTCACACTGCAAATCAGCTCTGAGCTGTGATAGAATGAAGACATGCTGCATTTTATCGCAGCGCACTGTACAGGACCGCATTAGCGATCTACGGCAGCGCATTGCACTGCTGCACAGTGGCAGGAATAAGGTGAACTTTTGTACACTCCAAATAAAGTTCAGTGAGAACAAAAAAAGGAAGAGTTGTATAATGCGCTGAATTGTGCACCACATCGCCCCCTACTGCAGCTGGAACGGACAGCTGCTGGAGATGTGGTTTCCCTCATTGGCAGCTGGCTGTCCTAGCAGCCTTAGTGGAGTCATCCACCTGTATATACTGTGTGGCAGTGCTGTGTAAGTCTTGTCACTGGATGGGCACAGATACAAATCCTTTGGTATGCAAAACAGCTCCCATCTATGTATTTCATCTGTATATTTAGCTCTTTGCCTGGGGTTCCTTTTTAAAGATGTGTTCATTGGGCTTGTCATATAGATGCATATAAACTGGAACAATGGCAGTGCACTCATTAGTATTAGGAACATTGTTAATTAGGTAGACTTTTTATAACCAGTGAAGCTAATAAATTCTCTCAGCAGTTGGTGGATTCACCTCGGCCTCTGCAGCTTTAATTAGAGGAAGCTGGTTCTTATTTCTGATTAATAATGGGGCGTACGGTATGGGGCATTCTTTATATGAACCTGGTGTTGTTAAAATGCTGAGTTTATTAGGAAAGCACAATGCAGAGTATTGTGTTCGGTCGGATTCTCTCCAGGGACGTCAGTCGCCATGTTCACTTCCTGTTTGTTTGTAAAGGGCTTTTTCCTGAGCCATCTGTAATGGACCAGAGAAAAAAAATCAATTAAAAAATATTAAATTCTAAAGTGGCTGTATGACCATTCCCCAGATGAACTGTTGCAAAACTGTATATACAATATTTCTGTGCTTGTTACAGTAAAACAGTTAAGACTTTGGCCTCATCCCAGGCAGGGGCCATGTTTACCCTCACGGGGATGCACAGGTGTTTTGTGTCCCATTCATGCCAGCTGGGACACAGCAGCTACATGGACACCGATGCTGCTCCCATTTTGACATCTGTGCGGGTGCACGGCCCCGAATGCACACTCTCTGTGTCCAGGTCTGCGCACACACATAGATATCCGATTGGGAGCTGCATCCCAATTGAATGGGACTGCGTGCACAGGGATGCACGGAATACTTGTACACCCCCATGCCGGTAAACATGGCCCTCACATGGGTGTACGCTGTAGTACGCCTGTGTGAATGAGGAATTTTTCTGTGTGTATAGCTACACCTTCCCCGCAGCTTGTCATTGCAGGGGAAAGAACTAAGCTCACATAGGCTGCTATTGATTCTGTGCTGATCAGGTGATTTGACAGTCACGTGATCAAATTGAACTTCCTTTTCTTTCTTTGACCTCTAATGTTTTATGCATTCGCATTTATGCATGTATGGCGTTCGAGTATAAATGAATTGCTCTGGCTAGAATATTAAAGTGTTACTAAACCCAGGACCCTGCACTCACTCTATCTGGTCTCCCCGGACCCTGCATTCACTATATCCGTCTCCCCGGACCCTGCATTCACTATATCCGGTCTCCCCGGACCCTGCATTCACTATATCCGGTCTCCCCGGACCCTGCACTCACTATATCCAGTCTCCCCGGACCCTGCATTCACTATATCCGGTCTCCCCGGACCCTGCATTCACTATATCTGGTCTCCCGGACCCTGCACTCACTATATCTGGTCTCCCCGGACCCTGCATTCACTATATCCGGTCTCCCCGGACCCTGCATTCACTATATCTGGTCTCCCCGGACCCTGCACTCACTATATCTGGTCTCCCCGGACCCTGCATTCACTATATCTGGTCTCCCCAGACCCTGCACTCACTATACCTGGTCTCCCAGGACCCTGCACTCACTATATCTGGTCTTCCCGAACCCTGCACTCACTATATCTGGTCTTCCCGAACCCTGCACTCACTATATCTGGTCTCCCCGGACCCTGCACTCACTATATCTGGTCTCCCCGGACCCTGCATTCACTATATCTGGTCTCCCCGGACCCTGCACTCACTATATCTGGTCTCCCCGGACCCTGCATTCACTATATCTGGTCTCCCCGGACCCTGCATTCACTATATCTGGACCCCGGACCCTGCATTCACTATATCTGGTCTCCCAGGACCCTGCATTCACTATATCTGGTCTCCCACAGTACACACAACATGGAAATGCAATTATTTTAGTAAATATAAACTGATAAATACCTTTTCTCATCAGCAGTTAGAGCAGTCTTGTGACTTCTATCAGTGTCCGCACATAGGTGTTTACAGGCATACTTAAAGAGGAGCGTTTACAGACAGATAAAAAAAAAGAAAGAAAAAACACCAAAGGCGCGTTCTAAGAGGAGCTGAAAAAATGCCCCCTCTATGTGCAAAAATGTATTCCAATGGCCAGAATAAATTAAAGTGCTACTATACCCACAACAGTAGAATCAGTCTGTGTATACAGTAAAATGAGCTTGTTGTACTCACTGTGGAACCTAAGGGGTTAATCCTCTGCATTGTGTAAGGCTGCTTGATTCTGTCTTCTCTGATCCTCCCCTTCTTCTACTGTCCCCATTCCATCTGCTGATAGTACAGAGCTCTAGGAGTCACTCTGCACATGCTCAGTTTAGTGTGTAGTGCTAGAGAGTGGTTTTTTTTTTTTTTTGGGAGGGTGCATGCAATCAGCAGAGGGCCAATCAGCACTGTCCAGACAGAGGGTCAGGGGTTATGTAGCCTCATAGGACAGTCAGAGGAGAATGAAAACTGCTCCTACAAGCTAGCTGCTCAGCCGGACACTGATAGAAGACACAAGACTGCTATATACTGCTGATGAGAAAAGGTATAGCAGGTTATATCTACTAAAATAATTGCATTTCCATGTTGTGTGTACTGTGGGAGACCAAATATAGTGAATACAGGGTCCTGGGTTAAGTAACACTTTAAAGTGGAACAACACAGGTTTTTTCTAGTTCTGGATACAAGGGGGACTGGGTTAGAGCCTCTGCCAGAAATGTATCCATCATTCTCTGACACTGGGAATTTTGGTGGCAGCTGCGATGGAAGAGGGAGCATCAGGAGATTGCTGGTGAGATTAATATCAGCTGGTAAACCTTTACACACAATGACACAATTAGTCAGAAAAGCCTGTTCTGGGCCCATATATGATTGTTACTGGAGCTCAGCTTTAACACAGACTTCTAACATTCCACTTGCCTTCCTCAAGGGCTAGTATGGGCACTCACAAAAATTCAGGTGCTGATAAGAAGTGAAACTAAATCAGAGAGGGGCACAGAACAGGTTTTTCTGGCTAATAAAGGCAGCGAGCATGACTTTAATATTTGGAATAGAGCATAGGTTCACTTTAAGACACTGGATCTTTAAGGCAGCCACTATGCTGCCTATGTTACCTCCAACACATCTATTTCAGTATATTCTGTAACTTCTAGCACACAGGCAGAACAATCCAATGACTTTTCTTCAGTGCACTTAATTACTTCAGGGCATCTTGCTACTAATTAATGTAATGTTTAGAAGTCTGAGCCAGTTTTGTGGTTTGTAGTAAAAAGTTCCTTGAATGAAGAAAAGAGCTTACAGAACAGCTGTAAATCATCCTTTTGTCTTCACTCAGAATACCTCTATGTAGTTTTACGTAATTGTTTAATATGCTTTGGTCTGTTGTATATTAAAGTGGTTGTAAATGTCAGACGTGAAATATGAACAAAGCATATGCCTTTATAGTGTGTACATTGTCTCAGTCCAGAGCGCTAGGTGTCATTTCTGTCTGCTGCTTTGTTCCTTTGCTATCAGCATGAATCACTTCTGACAATTTTTCTTGACACAAAAAATGGTGACGGGAGGGGTGACAACCTCAGCTCTGTTCTTGTGAGCTGAGTAGGGGGGGTGTGTCCCTTTCTTCCTTTCAATACGCTGTCAGAGCTCTCCTCACTGAGCTCCGCAGAGTGTAAATTTATCTCTGCGCCCATTTTTTTTCTGAACTCTCAGACAAGCTTTAAAAAAATTCTGGACTTTGACCAGAGAAGAGAAGACCACCAACAAACAGGTACAATTTATGTAGGAGGATTTGTTTCATCTCTTTGTATCACCTGAGGCTATACTGGGTTATATGCAATGGTTTACAACCACTTTAAAGAAGAACTCCATCTAAAACAAAAGTGCTTGCTATAATACCTACCTTACATCTGGCAGTACCTCCCTTAGGAAGTCTTCTACACCACTAGATGTCACTAATCTTCCAGGTGGAATGACTGCCAGTATTATTCACCGCACTTCCTGTGAGCCAAGGCTGTCATCACACCAACTTGGGCTCTGAGTATTACAGCAATGAACTACTGAACTGGGCATTACAGTTGCCCATCACTGCCACTGGAGAAGAAGAAGGACCTGCGACATAACATGACTGGCCAGAATAGGGAGGGGTGCTCCTGAAGTACTTAATAGTTTGAGTCCTTCTTCTTAAAGTGTATCTTAAAAATGATGTAAAATGGCATCATGAATGACACCTGTACTTGAACAAACATCTGCTTGCGCTGCTGGGACCCCCAAATCCAGGGTGCTTTAAAACTAGGATTACTAAGACTTGCCCAACTCTTCCCATCTCACTATTGGCCTTACATTCGGTGGGATACTTCACACACATCACTATTAGCCCTGACGTTCATAGGGGAGCATCAGTTATCAATAGTATGGGTCTGGAGGCAGGAGGTGGTTGGTCAGCTGTCAACTTTTCTTTCTGAGCAAATACACATAAGAAGAGAAGAGTGCATCTAAGATGCTGCCTTTATTAAAGTGGTTGTAAACCCTTTCATATACCCAGTGAAGTGACTGGCCTCAGGGGATACACAGAGATGAAACAAATCCTTCTACATAAGTTGTACCTGTCTTCTCTTCTCTACATCCATTCAAAATGCTGGATTTATAAAGCTTGTCTGAGAGTTCAGAAAAAAGGGGGCAGAGAGCTGAAGTTACTCTGCAGAGCTCAGTGAGAGGAGGTCCGAGGGCTGATTGGAGGATCGAGACACACACCCCTCCACACAGCTCACAGGAATAGAGCTGAGGCCGTCAGTCTGCTGGAGCTCCCACCCCTGCCACCATTTTTCTCTTGGTGTCAGAAAAACGTGTCAGAAGTGATTCATGCTGATAGTCAGAGGATCGAAGTAGCAGACAGAAATGATACTTAGTGCTTTTAATTGAGACAGGTACACACTAAAGAGCAATAAGCTTTGTTCATATTTCATGTCCGAGGTTTATAACCACTTTAAGTCATTATTGTTATTATTATTATACAGGATTTATATAGCGCCAACAGTTTGCTCAGCACTTTACAATATAACGGGAGACAATACAGCAACAATACAGCTCAATACAAAAGGGATAGGAGGGCCCTGATCCTCGGAGCTTACAATCTAGGAGATACCCATACTGCAGCATAGGCAATGTGGTGCTCCTACAAACTGCTGTACGATTACGTGCATCAAGAAGGTCCCAGAGGGTGATAGATCATATATCACCCACGATTTTCAAAAACAGGAAGGCAATCAGGCTCTAAGACCAGACCTTGTAAAGGTTCTCAACCTGTACTTTAAGTCATGGAGTTAAACGCTCGTGCAGCTCATATCGTCTTGTAAAAGTTGCTGAGGAGAGGGGCTGTGGGACCTCTCAGCACTTAGCACATCCATTTTTGTTGGCCATCCACACAAAAACATTTTTTCTCTGACTTCGTTGATGGAAAAACTATGAAGAAGAAATTGAAGCCATCTGCGCTGGATTTAAAGTCAAATTATTATCTAGGGGCTCGAGTATTTTCTGCATGAGTCCTATTCTTAGCTGCATTTAGTTCAGCACTATGTGTTCCAGCTATCTTACATTATAAATACAGCGGTATATGACTACTCCGTGTCTGTGGGGAATACTTCCTTTGGCATTGAACACTTTCTCATGTAAAAAGACTTGCCCTTCATAAAATATCCACTTTGTAAACAGCCCGCATGGACTGTCCTCAAAATGTTAATGTCTTGTATCTAAAAATCCATCTAAATCTAAGCTGGGTTATTTTCTCAGGAAATAATATTTCACTGGTTAACTGTCATTAAAGTATAACTAAAGGCAAAACTTTTTTTTAGATTTGGATAGCACTGCACCAAACTGCATGATAATACATGTGATTCGGTGGCTGCAAATTCACAGCGTATGTGTTCTGCATTTAGGGTGCAGCTAATACATTGGCACCTGTATGCAGATCTCAAGGGCAGTGCATTCACCTGTGGTGCGGGAAACGTGGACAAGACACGCCTTTCCCACATCACATTCTGATGTGAACCGACCCTAAAGCTTTCATTGCTGTCTGTGTCCTTGTACAGTTTCTTTAATTGTCCTGATCACCAGTATAACTGGGTATAAAAGTGAGGGTAAATCTAGAATTTTTTTTTTGTTTACAAACTATTTTATTTTTCAAGAAATAGACTGTAAAACAGTGGTTCTCAACCTTTCTAACGCCGCGACCCCTTAATACAGTTCCTCATGTTGTGGTGACCCCCAACCATAAAATTATTTTCGTTGCTACTTCAGAACTGTAATTTTGCAGTGGGAGGAATAGAGCCCCATCATTTGTATCAGTGGGAGGACTAGCGCCCCATCACTGATGTCAGTGGGAGGAATAGTGTCCCATTGTTGGTATCAGTGGGAGGAATAGTGCCCCATCGTTGGTGTCAGTGGGAGGAATAGTGCCCCATCGTTGGTGTCAGTAGGAGGAATAGTGCCCCATCGTGGTGTCAGTGGGAGGAATAGTGCCCCATCGTTGGTGTCAGTGGGGAGAATAGTGCCCCATCATTGGTATCAGTGGAGGAATAGTGCCCCATCATTGGTGTCAGTGGGGGGAATAGTGCTCCAATTGGTGTCAGTGGGAGGAATAGTGTCCCATCATTGGTATCAGTGGGAGGAATAGTGCCCCATCATTGGTGTCAGTGGAGGAATAGTGTCCCATCATTGGTGTCAGTGGGAGGAATAGTGTCCCATCATTGGTGTCAGTGGAGGAATAGTGCCCCATCATTGGTGTCAGTGGGAGGAATAGTGTCCCATCATTGGTGTCAGTGGGAGGAATAGTGCCCCATCATTGGTGTCAGTGGGAGGAATAGTGCCCCATCATTGGTGTCAGTGGGAGGAATAGTGCCCCATCATTGGTGTCAGTGGGAGGAATAGTGCCCCATCGTTGGTGTCAGTGGGAGGAATAGTGCCCCATCGTTGGTGTCAGTGGGAGGAATA